AGGGTGAGCAAGCCTCCCCCATCCTTCCTTCTTTTGTTTTCATCTACCCCTTCTCCATTGGAGGAATAGGTAGCCAATGGCTGTGAATGAATTCCAACTCACTAACTTGTACAGAAAAAGGCAGATCATGGGCCAGGTGTGTGCACGGGGGCACTGCCTTTCTCCTGTGGCCTCGGCCTATACTCTGGTCTCTGAGGCTTGAGGTAGTGAGGGTCAAGGAGAGGGGACCTAGAACAGAGAAAGAAGGACGAGGTGTGGCCTTATTTAGTAGTCCACCCATAGTCCTTTGGCTGGGGAGGGATGGAGCTGTCACCAAGATGTCCAGGGAAGCCCACAACTGGTTGAACCCAGAGCCTCTCCATTCACAGAGCAGTTTGTTCCTGCATCAATTTTTAAATGCATACAAAAGACTTAAAAGCAAATGTGTTCATATTCATAGTTTTATTTATTGTTAAGCTTTTTTTCCAGGTAAATGTTGAGGTTTAGACTAAAAACTAGCAATATAAACGAGGGTAATTATTTTTACAATGCCTTTAGCATGTGCTGGTTTTTTTTTCTTCTTTCACAATAAGGTTTTGCTTTATTGTGCAGGAAAAAAAGAAAAAAAAAAAAAACCTACCCACAGCATTCTGAGTCATCTTGAGTCGAACAGAGTTGTCTGTCCTCATCACCTCATTAGGATACTTGACAATAATTCACAGATCTTTGTGGATAATCCCCAGGCTTTCAGATACTGCCTGGAATAGTGATAAACACTGTATTTTTTAAAATAGTGTAACTGTTACATGTTTCCCTCAGGCGATTAGCCTCTGTTGCCACAAGTTAACCTGCTTCTATCCCCAGAAAGTAACCATTTGGTCTGTCTGTTCAGAATTATCATGTATTTCCTTCTTCCCTCTAGGTAGGTCACTAGATTCAAACAGCCATTAAAAAAAAAAAAAAACTAAATATGTGCAAAATGCAGCTGTTAATATTTCTCAAGAGTATTGAGTCATATTGAGTCAGATTATGTGAAATTACGAAATACTATCAGAAAAGGGCACTTTACATACCATAAGAGTCATTTATAAAGTTCAATTTGGCAATTCCAAGCCACATTTAATTTCCTCTGAAAATTCCCACACGGCAGAAAGATATTGCTCTTTGTGGCTTTCAAGTCTATGTCAGGGAACTGTAAAATGACAACCTTTTGGAATTAGCACTTTTTCTATAAATAGACACTAAATCACTTTGCCAAATAAAGTCACATATGTATTTTCATTAAAATAAATACTAAAATAATAAGTAATTTTGCTATATAACCATCTATGAAAATTAGAATTTTGTATTACAGTGCAGTATGAATCATTTGTAGTTCTTCATCTTCACTGATAGGTGGGGCTAGTAATTTCTGTATTAATTATAATATTTTAGCATGTTAAAATCTGTATCTAGATGAAGCAGATACTTCAAAGCTTCAAAACTGATGAAACTGCATACTTCTCTTTTAAGGGATCAAACTGTTTGCATTAATATATGAAATACACTACTAAAATACCCCCTGCTGATTTCATAGGCTTTGCAGGGAGTTATGCATAATTTTCTGAAAATTAAAGGAGTGAGGATCAGTATTTATGATGATAAAAATTAAATCTCAAGAACTATTAGAAACTTGGAAGATTCTTCTAAAATGGAATTTTAAAAATTCAGCTCAACAATTATTTAACATATGCCAGAGGTAAAAGAACAGAGTAGGACTCAGAAGATCAGAATTTAAGATTCAGCTGCACACTTACCAGCACCATAACAGGGCTTACCTGATACCTTTGTAAACCTACATCAGAGAGTTGAAATGAGAATTAAGTGAAGTAACTTGGGAAACTTTGTAAGTAATAGGTTGTAACTTCACAAATGTTGGTTATTGATGTAGCATGGTATAAGACAGTAATTCTCCTATTCAGATTAAGGATAAATTCTCAGGAATCCACAAATTCTCCATGTAAATGTGTCTTTACACCTTTTAATTTTGTTTTTTTTTATCTTGGTGCTATATCTTTTTTTTTTAATTTATTTATTTGAGAGAGAGAGAGAGAAAGCATATGAGCTGGAGGGGCAGGGGGAGAGGGAGAGAGACCCCTCACTGAGCACGGAGCCCCACGCTGGGCTCCATCTCAGGAATCTGAGATCAGGACCTGAGCCAAAACCCAAGACTTGGATACTTAACTGACTGAGCCACCCAGGCAACCTGATGATTGTTGGCGCTAATCTTTAAAAAAGTTCACGTAAGCACATTCTAGATCATCTGAATATCCTCCTTATAACTGCCACGCAACATATATATTCAGGATAGCACTAGCACCAAGTAATTTAACTTCATTTGTTTCCAAGTTAATGAAAACAGATACAAGCAGACTTTAATAGGCAGCTTCCATGTTCCTCCAAGGGAAAGGCAGGGTACAATGGCAAAAATTCTGAGCAGATTTGGTGGTAATTTGGATCCAAAAAACTGATGAGAAAATCATTACATGGCACACTGTAACTTTAGTAAGCTGAACTCTAAGAAAACAAAATCCTGCCAGTCTGCATTAAAAGCAGTGATTTAACACCTTGCATCATTTATATTGATTTTGTAGCTTTGCATATATTTACTGATTGTTTTAGTTAAATAGCCATAGGAAAACTGTAAACTTAAGCTTATACTCAGATTCATATTCCATTTATGTAAATAAGATCATAAAATTAACATACATTAGTTAACTTAAAAATAATTTAACTTGAGGGCTGTGGCCCATGAGATCAGAACTCAGAAAAAAAAAAAAAACTTTAGTTAAATCTTCTTTCTGTACTTTGCTATGCGATCCTGGGTAAGTCAAATTACCTCCTTCACCGTAAAATAACAATAACAATCTCGTTCACATAAGAACACTATGAGGAGTAAATGAAATAATTAATATAACTGTGAATGAATGCCTTTCCCAGCTATAGTATGCTGTGGAATATAAGGACTCTGAATCAAGAGTTTAGGCTTTCAAACTACACTTCGACGCCACCTTGGGCAAATCACCTTACCTCTTTGAGAGTCACTTTCCAATTTTCTAAAGCTTGGAGCTTTGTCAGATTATCTCACAGTTCCTTTTAATATAGCTATAACAGAAGGTGGTTGGGTTTTCCACTGAGATTCCAATGAAAATTTCATTCATTTGATTTCACTCATATCATATCCACAGCTACTTGGTTTTCCATTAGCTTTATTTTAAACTTACTACTCTGAGAAATAAAAAATGTTATGATTCACTTGTGATCAAGGCAGCAATTTGCAAAAAGAACAGGGTCAGAAAAGCTAAATTCTCCTATATAGCAGAGATTTCGATCTTTCTTTGCTTTGTTCTTTCTCTGTTATAATAGACAGAATTCAGATTTGAGTCTTTGTACTTAGAGGTAACCATCCTAGGCAAGTCAAATGACCTCTCAACATTGACTGTACTGCTTAAAAAGCAGGCTCTGGACATAGACTTGTGGATTGAAATCCTGATTCCACTACTTACTAGCTATGCAGTCTAGGACAAATTGCGGAACCTCTCTAAGCCTTTATCTTTGTAACAGTTAATGAGATAACAGCTGTAAAGCACTCAACTGTGAAGCCTGGTACTTAGGGAAACGGCTCAATGAACGTTAGCTATTATTAGTATTATCATGTTCATTTCCCTTCCTTTTCATCCTTACCTTTCCAGTTACTGCAAAAAGAGACTGCAATAATTGGGGCATGGAGGGGCAATAAGAAAACTTTGGGAAGGCAAACAAGAAGTGGCAAATAATACTCACTGCAAAGGCAGGTGACTAGAAAGAGCAGCTACCATACATGTCCAGAAATTTAGACTGGATCTGGGTTCTACAATTTTCTCGCTTTGTGAATATCAATTAATTTATATCACCTCTCCTAAGTTTTTGTTTCCTCTGCTCTAACCTGAGACTAGGAATATTTATATCATAAAACTGTTTTAAAAAAAATTCGATATACGCGAAAACACTTCCTGAACTCTAAACAAGGCGGTTTTTCTCGTTGACTGGATACGTTTAGAGGGGGAGCAGAAGAATTGGATTCTACTTCTGGCCTTCTCACTGCAAAACTGTGCTCCTTTCTTTTAACCCCTCTGGCCGCGTTCATCCACTAGATCATTACGGTAGTAACGGCCACCATTGATTACGGGCTTAACGTATGCCATGCATTGCACTATGTTCTGAATCTGCACACCAGACGACTTCTCTCATTTAGTCCTTGCGATTTTAAGATAGATATGTCCAGGGGCGCCTGGGTGGCTCAGTTGGTTAAGCGACTGCCTTCGGCTCAGGTCATGATCCTGGAGTCCCGGGATCGAGTCCCGCATCGGGCTCCCTGCTCGGCAGGGAGTCTGCTTCTCCCTCTGACCCTCCTCCCTCTCATGCTCTCTCTATCTCATTCTCTCTGTCTCAAATAAATAAATAAAATCTTTAAAAAAAAAAAAAAAAAAAAGATAGATATGTCCATTTTACAGGTGAAAAACTAAGGAAGAAAGAAGTTAGAAACCTGCCATCCGGCACCTACAATGCTAACGTTCTAAAAACATCTACCATAAGAGAAAATCGTTAGCAACCAATAGCGTTGCCTCTATCATTAGCTTTCCCACAATTATCCAGAGAGTAAATTAGGCACGTCTATCCGCCGGGAGAATGCACAAGGGTGTTGCTAGGCTCCTCGGTCCTCTGCTCCGCCCCTCCGCGTTCCTGTCCAGGCCCCGCCTCGCCCCGCCCCCGGGGCCGCTCTGGCCACCGCCCACCCAGGAGAGACCCCGCCCTCCCCGCGCCTCCACACCCTGAAGGGCGAAAAGCAGCGCGTACCCAGCCTGCACTGCGCCTAGCGAGACGCAGCGCATGCGCTCTGGGTGCGCCCAGATTTCCTGTCTGTCCACTGCGCTTCCGGCGAGGTATATCCGACCAATAAGGTCGGCTCGGAGGTGGGCCTTAATGCTCCCCGCTCCCGCCCCCCTTTCCTTCCGTGGATGATTTAAGAGCAGCGCTAAAAGTCCGCGGTGAGGCTTGGACGGTTCCGCGGGGCGTTATGGCTGCTTCTGGGACGCTGAGCGCTTTTCGTCTCCCGCCGTTGCCCACGATTCGAGAAATCATTAAGTTATTCAGGCTGCAAGCAGCGAAGCAGCTATCCCAGAATTTTCTCCTGGACTTGAAGCTGACAGGTGGCTGGCTGTCTTCTCAGTGCTCCCCCTCATCTCCGGGGACGTGGGCCGGGGGTTTCGCGCGGACCCTGTGGGCGGGTGTCTGGTGTCAGGCAGTGTGCAGCGGGCCACAGGTCAGGTCCTTCTACCGCTTTGTGCTGAAAGAACCCGGAGCACCGCCCCGGAGACGCGTGGAATGAGTTGTTCGCCCGCAGAATGGCGTGCTCGCGGGCGTTTGCTGCGGGCGAGGGAAGGCAGGTTATGTAGACGTCGAGCAGACACTAGGGGAGGCAGGGGTCGCGCATCATGAAAGGCGGTTGTGGAAATTCGAATCTCGGTGTGTTAGCACTGAAAGCGTACTGCATGTGTGACTAGTTTTGTTTTCCATGCAATTTAAAGCTACCAGAATTTAAATTAGTGCGGGGAGTTTTTCAATAACACGTCGAGAAAGAATCACTCGTGGGATTACGTTATTTAAACGTTTACTTGTTGAATCCAAAACCCTCGAGGCGCAAATATTCAGTAAATACGTATCAGACAAGCTACAATGTGCTGGTACTGGAGATGCAGTTCGGGAGTGAACAAGGCCAGGCCTGTCGTCAGGGAGCTTACATTTTTAGTGAGTTTACATTTCCACCCTTTATTTTAAGTCACTTTTATGAGGCAAAATTTACGTGCAATAAAATGACCCAGTTAAAAGAGCACAGTTTGGTGAGTTTTGACAGACACACGCATTCGCTTAACCGCTGCCCCCATTTCTTGGTGATACTTTCTTCTAAAAGGTGAGGTTGCAAGAATAACATGTATTGTAAGTATGTCCACTAATTTACTGTTGGAGTATTTACTGTATTTGAGGTTTTCATATTTAATTCCACTTTGGCCCCTCATGAGAAGCTGAAAAGATCAGTAAATCATACCCAAAAAGTTCATTTTCAGTTAAATGAAGTATAGTCCACAAACCATGAATAACATGTTTTATTTCTTGGATGTGGAGTCTTTATTCTGCTGGTAGAAATATGATTTTGGGTAAAATAGCTTAACTAAGCTTCAGTTTCTCACTTGTTAATTGGAGGAAAGCCCCTACTGCAAGAACTTTAAAGGGTTACCCACCTCTAAAATTCTTTAGTTCTAGGAGTAACTAGAATCAGCCTTGTCTGCAAGTCGTTAGTCACATTTTGCAGGTATAAAGCACCATTCTTAAGACGGAAAATACAGGTCTTTATATTTTTAATGTAGAAAAAAATCCTTCATTTATAGTATCATGTGTGCGCCTTTATTCACTCTCAGGAGTAAATTCGGGAACCCAAGGGAAGGGAGATTAAAGTATTTGTCTGAGGTGAGAAGCTCAGGTGGGAGCAGATGCTTCCTGAATTGACAGTGCCTTTTTGATACTCATTTGTATTTGAATGTGCCTGAAAAGTTTGAGGGCAGAGCCCCTGACCTCTCAACTATACTAGCTCTCCATTTAGGAAAATGAGAATATTAAATTCATAATGCCTGTGCTTAAGGTATCAATTCTATTCCTTCTAAAAGGCATTGTTCTGGAGTGGAGGAAGGATTGCTTTAGAATTTACACCTGAGCTGGAGTCCCTTCTCCTCCATTTGCTTTCTAGATGACCTTGCGCAAATCAAACAATAGACAAGGAAATTGAAAAGTTCAGAGAAGTTAAATTGGGATAGTAGTTCTTAATGTGTTGGAAGGATTGGAAGAATTGTGAGATGCAAGTGAGAAAGCATGTAAAGCACCTAAAACAAATGGTTGGTGAGCATATTACTAATTCCCTCCCAGCACCAGTTAAAAGACAAAACTATTTTAGGGTGGCTCAGTCGGTTTAGTGTCCCACTCTTGATTTCTGCTCAGGTCATGATCTTGGGGTGGTGAGATTGAGCCCAGCATGGGGCTCCACGCTCAGCGGGGAGTCTGCTTGAGATTCCTTCTCCCTCTGCCCCTCCCCCTCACTCTTTCTCTAAAATAAATCTTAAAAAAAAAAAAAAGACAATTATTTTTGCCTTTAAGCCTACAAAAATGGTAGTATACATCTCTGAACACGGCAAAGAAGTGCTGGTATGTTTTCAGTGGCTAAATTTCCACTATCGCAGGAGGCCCAGTTACTTGGATTTTAGTATCTCAGTCGGTAAGACCAGCCCATTATGTTTTTCCAGAAGTGATAATTGGTTGCAATGAATCCTCAATATTTTTCATGATTTCTTAAGCTCTGTTAACTTAGAGGTTGATTAATTTAAAATACTAACTTTTCCATATCAATTTGCATATTTGCAAAGCTTTAAACACCTCCACTGGTAAGTTTAACTTTTTCCTAAAAATTACCAAGAATCTAAATTTCTGCTAGTCCTATGAGTAGAGTAGGAAGGAACAAGTAGGTAAGAACTTGTTGCTGTGGCCTTATTGACCAACTAGATGTCTGTAGGTAAAAATGAAACTACCAACACTATTTTGCTTTGGGATTTCAAACTAGCAGCATTGGAAATTCTGAATGTAAAACTAGTTTTACTTACTCAAATATTCAGTATTTGGCAACTATAGAGAGATGGTGCATGCTCACCTGGTCAGTTCTTAGGAATTGATTGATTGGTTTGGTGGAGGAACAGATAGAAAATACAGTATTAACTATATAATTGATTGGTTTGGTGGAGGAACAGATAGAAAATACGGTATTAACTATATTTAAGTTAGGAAGTTTGTTATGATAATCCTATTTTTGTTAAGGGACTGACGATACAGATAAACTGTTGTGGTAGAATAGGGAACGGCCACTATATATTGGTTTAGGTTAAGAGTTAAATAATCAGACAAATATGGTGTAAAGGATTAGTTGAGTAATGGTTGATAAGAATTTATGGAGATTATTGTTAAATTTTGTACATTGAAATTTATCAAGACAATTAAAACATTCTTTTTTCTAGATAAAATCGTAAGGAAAGCTGGGAATCTGACAAATGCTTATGTTTATGAAGTGGGCCCTGGGCCAGGGGGAATCACAAGATCCATTCTCAATGCCAATGTTGCTGAACTTTTGGTGGTTGAAAAGGATAGTCGATTTATTCCTGGATTACAGGTAAGATACTTAAAATGTCTTCTTTAGGAGGCAAAAAAACGATTTAAATCTTCAGGCCATGATTCTTAAACCTCAGGATATCCCAAGGATTATATAGGTTGCTCTTCAAACTGCAGATCTCCGAACCCCTTTCCAGAGATTCTGATTCCATAGTTTGGAGAGGTCTAGGAATTGCATTTTTTTTTTTTTAAACTTTTTGAGTTTTTGTTGTTTTTGTTTTGTTTGTTTTTTAAGATTTTTATTTATGTATTTGACAGAGAGAGCACAAGCAGCGAGAGCAGCAGGCAGAGGGAGAGAGGGAGAAGCAGGCTCACTGAGCAGGGAGCCCCATGCGGGGCTTGATCCCAGGACCCTGGGATCATGACCTGAGCTGAAGGCAGATGCTTAACGACTGAGCCACCCAGGTGCCCCTAGGAGTTGCGTTTCTTTTTTTTTTTTTTTAAGATTTTATTTATTCATTTGAGACACAGAGGTAGAGAGAGAGGGAGAGGGAGAAGCAGGCTCCCCTGCTGAGCCAGGAGCCTGACGCGGGGCTTGATCCGAGGAGCCTAGGATCATGACCCGAGCTGAAGGCAGATGCTTAACCATCTGAGCCAACCAGGTGCCCCAGGAATTGCATTTCTAGCAAGCATCCCAGCATGGTCTGTTGACCGCTACCTGAATAAACCTGCGTTATGCGTCAATGCTAGACAAACTTGTTGCTTTGTGTGATCTTTTTTTTAATAGCCATGCATGTTCTGGCCCATTCCTTCAAAAATAAGTAAATAATGCCAATAATGACTTAGTTACTGGCATGATTTATGAGAACTTCATTTAGATTCAGAAAATCATTTCTACAAGCAAAAAATGGAGAAAACATATGCTTTTTAAAGAGATTAATTGTTGGGGCGCCTGGGTGGCTCAGTTGGTTAAGCGACTGCCTTCGGCTCAGGTCATGATCCTGGAGTCCCTGGATCGAGTCCCGCATCGGGCTCCCTGCTCAGCAGGGAGTCTGCTTCTCCCTCTGATCCTCCCCCCTCTCATGCTCTCTCTCTCTGTCTCATTCTCTCTCTCAAATAAATAAATAAAATCTTTAAAAAAAAAAATAAAGAGATTAATTGTTAAGCTTAAGCGTTTGGTAAGAACTTAAGTGAAGAAATGAAGTTGTACCACTGTACACATAGATTTAAGATGAGGTTTGAATGAAGTGATACATGCATCTTTAAAACAGTAGGTGCCATTGTTATATGAGAAATATTTGAGGGAACTGGGCATGTTTCAGTTGGAGAAGAGGAGCCTTGGATGAGGGGATTCATAGCTGTCTCTGAAAAGGTGGCAGTGAAGAGGATAGCTTATTTTGATTTCTAAAAAAAGAACTAATACTAATAGGTGGGAAATGAGGGAGGCTGATGTGGATTTAAAATAAGGAGGGATTTATATTTTTTAAATGGTGGCAAACAGTGAAACCCATTATGTCAGGGATTTTGTAAAGGCAATTCTTCACAGGGGGGCACTTAATGACTAAAGGGCCTTTGTTTGATTCCTCTGTAATTCTAAAACTTTAGAAGAGCCCTTAGCCTTTGGCTTAGATGAATAGCAATTTATTTTGTGAGTCCAACAGAATAATAAAAGTTATCTGCATTATTACTTTCACACAAGAGACAAATTGGTTTAAAATTAGTACAGTCTAATGCTTGTATGTGCAATAATTGAAAAAGGTTTCATTTCTACCAGAACAGTTTGAGGAAATTTGTTTGAAAATCTAGGGCCTTGTATGCATGCAACTGATTTTTTTTTTTTTTTTTTTTTTAAAGAAACCTAGTGATTTCTTTCTTCTTATTGGGCTACATTTTGTTTTATGCTTTAAAAAAATTATATAATATTTAGTTTTATCTAATTTTACCACTCTATTGACAGAATTAGTTTCAGATTTATAACTATTTTGGGATTCTCATACGGTACATATTCCTTGATGTGGAATTTTAATAGTGATTTTTGCTTTGAACTACTTTCTTCTTTGAAGAACTGTATCTCACTTAGAGGTGAAAGTGGGAATATCTTATTTTTGGTGAGATCATGAGGTAATGAAAAGAAGCTGAATAACACTATGTAATTCCCTTTAGGTTTTTTCATCTAGCCCTTTCTGGACATGGGGAATACTCATCTGACATTTTTGCACTTGAAGAGACTTCCTAACCCTCAATCTTACCATCTGTTATACATAATTCTTTCTCATGAGGCAAGGAGGTGAATCAAATTTCTGTTCATCCCCACCTGAATTTACATTTTCTCTTTTCCTAATCTCATCTAAGCTCTTTGAAGACAGACTATTTAAAAGGCAACTACACGCTTCTCTTTTCAGCTGCCCCACCAAGACCCTGCACTCCTAACCCCTGCCTTGTTTTATTTGTCTCATTAGATTGATCATCTGATACACTATATTTTCTTACTTGTTGTCTGTCTTACCCCTCTGGAATGTCAGTGCCAAGGTCATGGAGATTTTTGTGTGTTTTGTTCTCTGTTCTGTCTACCACATGTAACTGTGGCTGGCATGTAGCAGGTGTTCAATAATGTCTTCTATGGGAAAATAAAACGTTGACTAATGTATATGTATCTAATTAACCAACTAAATATGTCATTTAATAGTGAAAATGAATAATTGTGCAGCATTGATTATTAAAAAGTTTTGTGCTCTTTTTTCTAAATATAAAGATTTATTTCCAGGTAAATTGTTCTGTAAGAAATGTGTATTTGTCTTATCTGTTTCTGTAGAAGCAAAATTAATTCTTAGTGTCCTATATTGCAGGAAAGGAATTTGCCTTAAAAAGAAATGTTGGGTACTAAAAATCAAATAGATTTCTTTTTCCTATAAAGAATGTTTCAATATGTAAAACCACTTTCATTTAGAGGTACTAAATTAATCATAAAACTTAATAAAGGCAAAAGGAGTGATCTATTTTAAGGATTCCATTTTAGTGGTTTCTGAGCTAATAGAATTACTTTTTAAAGAAATTGTAATAATTTATAAAATGTCTTCTAGCTGAAACTACGTCATTTGTATCCTAATCCAATTCTTATGATATCCTCGTGAGGCATCTTAGGGTTTTAGGGGAAAGAACATAGTGCTAACATACAGGCTTCATCATCAGCATGTTGTAAAGTAAAAAAACATGTCTCTTCTAGTATGTGAACACATAATAGGATAGTTTTGTGGTAAAGAACACAGACTTAAGTGTCAGATTGTCTGGTTTTGACTCTGGCCTCTGTCATTTACTGGTTATGTCTCCGGGCAGGTAACTATGTCCTCTGTGCCTCAGTTTGCTCATAGGATTGTAATGAGGATTAAATTAATGCCTCATACTTAGTTAAGCACTCAATATAATTTTCGATGTAAATAATTATTGTCCCTCTGCCTTGGGCATCTGTTAATTAAGGATTAATCAGGAGACTGCTTATCTGGAAAGAGGTATAGGAGAACTGTAAAGTTATTCCTTTGGAACACTAGAATATAAATCCCCAGTGCTGTGGAAACGTTGGAGCTTTCTCCCAACTCCTCAAGTTAGCATTGGACATCTGTGGTTTCTTTCTCTTAATGTTGTAGCATTCTCTTGTGATTGTGCATTTTTAGGTTTGTTTTTTTTTATTATTTTTTAGTTGCTTATTGTTGTTACATTTTTATGGCTGGGTGGATTCTCTGTGCTTTGGAGGGGAGTGAGATTTTTTGGTACCTCAGGGTTCTGAGGTTTTGTTCTTCCGCCCATTTCTGAACTGGAGAGAACAATGTAAGTAATACATTCTCCTTGAAGTAAATAATCTGGGTTCTTCATTTTTTTTCCTGTTTGTTATTAATATATAAAATCTTTAAAACAATCGTATTTATGGAGGGCTTACTGCACTAAGTACTTTGTTTTACAGCTTTATTGAGTATTATTGATGTGCAGTAAACTGCACATGTTAGAAGTACACAGATTACCGAATTTTGACAAATAAAATCTCCTGAAACCATCACCACAATCGAGATAATGAACATCCATCACCTTCAAGATTCCTCATTTTCCTTTACAATCCATCCCCCCCTCCTCCCCTTCCCTATCTTCAGACAACCATTGTTCTGTTTTGTCACTATAGGCTATTTCCCATTTTTTTTAGAATTTTATATAAATGGAATCGTACAGTATATGCTCTTTTTTATCTTATGTCTTTTACTGAGCATAAGTATTTTGAGAATCATCCATGTTGGGGTGTTTATCAATAGTTTGATTTTTTTTTTATTGCTGATTAGTATTCCATTGTATGGGTATGCCAAGCTTATAAATCCATTCACTAGTTGATGGACTTTGGGTTGTTTTCATTTTTTGGCAGTTATGTATAGAGCTATATCATTAACATTCACATGCAAGTCTTTGTGTGAATATATACTTTTATTTCTCTTGAGAAAAGAATTAGATGTGGAGTGTCTGTGTGTTATGGTAGGTGTATGTTAAACTTTTTATGAAACTACCAAACTTTTATAAAGTGGCTGTAGCATTTAACATTCCGTCCAGCTATGCATGAGAGTTCCCTTAACTTCACACGCTTCTCACACTTGGTATGGTTAATCTTTTAAATGGTAACCATTCAAATGAGCATATAGTAGTATCTTAATGTGGTTTTTATTTGCATTTTCCTGATCAGAAATACTGGACATATTTTCTTAAGATTTATTTATGTTTAGAAAGAGAGTGTGAGGGGGGCCAGAGGGAGAAGGAAAGAGAAAATCCTCAAGCACACAACCCACTGAGTGCAGAGCCCATTGTGGGGCTTGATCCCAGGACCCTGAGATCATGACCTGAGCTGAAAGCAAAAGTCAGCCGCTTAACCCACTGAGCCGCCCAGGTGCCCCTGGACATATTTTCATGTGTTTATTTGCCATGTGTATATCTTCTTTGGAAAATTGTGCGAGCATTTCTTGTTTTGTCTTCGTATTGCTGTATTGTAGGAAATCTTTATATATTTTGTCAGATACATGTTTTGTAGTACTT